AACAACTCGTTGTCGTTGTTAATTGGTTATTTCTTAAAAACCCGTTTTACAATTTATTCCCTATTTTGTGATATCAATAATTCATTTATTGATATCACAAATTAGATTTTGAGATATCAATAATTATTTTTTGATATCAATAATTATTTTATGATGTAAAATCAAATATGCGATATCAATAATTCATTTTGTGATGTTAATAAATGAATTATTGGTGACATAAATGCTTTTGCATCACACGTTTCACACCTATTACGTAATATAAGACGTCAGTGCCACAGAATATCCAGACTAGATTATCCGACGAAACAGATTCCATCGGGGCTACTCACACATGTTTCATATTTGTTGCCTGACACGCACTGCAGTATTCCTGCCATGAGACGGCAGCCTGTAAACAAACCAGACTATCAAGATATTGACCAGAAATGCAGACACACGATAGCGCCTTTATTGATTTGGTTGAAACTCAAAACGACATGTTAATTTTGAATGACGCCTGTGAACAAATGAGTTTAACAAGTTTAATTGCATCTTGTTCGTTTTTTTTTTTTCTAATGGTAACATTTGTCTTGTGAGAATGAGTTTACAGTTCATTGTTGCTGAAAGTATGTTTCCATTTATGTTGATGGGAAATAGCATCCCTAAATGTTTATAATATTCCTTCAAATTTAGAGCAGTGTGTTTGCTGTTTAACGCCACACTCAGCAATATTCCAGCTATGTGACGGATGTCTGAAAATAATCGAGTCTTGATAAGACAATCCAGTGATTGACATCGATCTACGCAGTTGGGATACGATGACATGCATCAGCCAAGTTAGCGAGTCTGACCACCCGATCCCATTAGCCGCCTCTTACGACAAGCATGGATTGCTGAAGACCTATTCTACCCCTGATCTTCACGGATTAGAGCTGTGTGTACAAAGATCCACACATATCCAGAAAAAACCCCGCCTTATTTGAGTTAAACACGCTAGAAAAAACAACATTACCTAATTAATTCCGATTTGCCTCGAAACGCATGAAATAGTTTACTCATTGGATGTTGCCTTGCAGGTCTTATTTACCTAGCAACTGCAGCATCACTTATACATGAAATCTTCAGCAGTAAATAAGACATAAAAGCGCTGTTGTAACCAAGTGATTAAAAGGAGATATTGAATACCGAAATAAAACTACAAACACCCAAATCGAACGATAACATAATTAGCACCTCAAGTTACTTGGAGGAACGCCTTTTGACGTGTTTACTAAACTTTATGATACAATGGTATGGTCGATAGTTGAATACAGTGCTGCTGTTTGGGGGTGGGTGGTGGGGGGTGCGGGGTGGGAGTGGGGCTGGGTTGGGGGGGGGGGGGGGGGGGGGGGGTTGGTGGTGGTGGTGTGTGTGTGTGTGGGGGGGGAATACAGCTGAGTAAATGCTCTCCAGAACCGAGAGATTTTGCTTCAACTGTGTCAATGAGTTCGAATGTGATGCATGTCCTTCTATTATGCCCATTATACGAAGAAGAACGAAGAGATTTCGTAACCAAATGTCAACAAAACGCTAACTTTCAGTATCGCAATATACAAGAGAAGCTATACACTATGTTTTAACTGACAAGGACCTTATCTTTCACGTTGCCAAAACCTGCCAAAGTATGTTATCAAAACGTCGTTTAACTTTGTATAAATCCTTTTTATTGTGTATTTTAATGCTTGTTTACTGTTTATACATTGTTTGAACTATATGTATATAGTCTCTCATAAATCGCTGGGCGATTGGTCAGGGTTTTATTTTTCATGCATTTTATACTTTGTTTTATCAACTGTACCAATTAATAAACAATTCTGTCTGTCTGTCTATGAGTAAATATTTAATGGTTAAAAATGTTATCTGGAGCTATGGCGGTTCACAGTGAATACGGGGGCACGGGTGGCCCAGTCGTCTAAGGCGCCGCGATTCGCTGTGCAGAGTGTCCCTTGGGCACGCCAGAAACCTATGATTGTGGGTTCGAATCCCGGTTCGCCCCAATTATGTTTCTAGGTTTGTCAGCACCATACCCGTGCTCGTGGGTTTCACCGAAGCAGTAAACGTCTGAGACCTGCATCACTTGGGGCTTTCCTCCCACATTAAGCTGACACGCCGTGATATAGCTGGAATATTGTTAAAAGCGGGGTTAAACCCAACTCACTCACTCACTCACAATGAATACCATAGGGCAGTGTTTTGGGAGTTTAAAGACACAAGCAAATTGTTTAGGCTATCTTTGTACAATCTGAAGATCTTCATTTAATTGGGGCTGGACGCACTGTGAGCCACACTGGTGGAGTGACTGATACAACACCGGCAAACATCCATCTGCTTGTCGTCGTAGTAACAATGGCTCTAACACGAAGCCATGAAGACTACTTGTTTACTATTTGACACATTGGACTAGGTGAAAACACTTCATAATATCTTTCTCGTATCGTATGTAATAATCGATTCAGAAACATTATCGATTGAACTTGAACAAATACTTTTTTTCTGAGGGTGAGAAAGCAAAGCCGATCTGATTTTTTATCAAAGGCGATGAAATCATATTGGTTGCCTAGGGCAATCTGAAACATTCTTTTATGACGTGTGATGGATTCAGATTTGTCAATGCCAGTAAATTAAAAAAAACATCCCCCAAGTTATATACATGTATGTAAAGATAATACGTAAATAAAAGTGTCAAAAAAACATTTCACTAATCATAAGAAGTTGCTCCTGAAAGCGGAGTCCTATGAACGTTTCCGACTATATCTTGAGCAAATGTTTATGAATCAAAATATTGTTTTCATGTTGTTTTATCGCTCTAACTTGCTTCAGAGCCACATTGAGTTACAGTGAGTGAGTGAGTATGGTTTTACGCCGCTTTTAGCAATATTCCAGCAATATCACGGCGGGGGACACCAGAAATGGGCATCACACATTGTACCCATGTCGGGAATCGAACCCGGGTCTTCGGCGTGACGAGCGAACGCTTTAACCACTAGGCTACCCGACCACCCCACATTGAGTTACATGCCATGGAGGCCCAACTTTATAGGTCAGTCGGGAAGTTGAAATATCTGCAAATGAAGAGGATCTTCAAACCATTGTGTCATCAACACCTCCGGCTCGTGGTATAAAACCTAACGCGGGACGCATTCAACCACATGTAGGCTCCAACGATTTTATCTTACCGACATGATTTAATATGACATTGTAAAATAATAAAAACAAATCAAAATTTATGGCTGTTCGGTTGAGCTGAGGTTCACTTGTCCTATGTCACGTGACTTTCATTGAGCGTGCGGCTTCTTGCTTCGAAGCGGGGTATAAGTTATTTATTTTCTTTTTTAGAAATCCACGTGAAACCTGTCTTGGTCGTGGCGGGGTATAATGGATTTATTCTCCCGCTGAGAAATGTATTTCCCTCCAAGGCGTGATACATAGTATTTTATGAAGATCACGTGAACCAATCAGATCTCGTCATTCTGACATAGAAGTATGATTACTATGAGTGTGCCTGTGTCAAACTGACGTCATCGTGGTTGTCTATACGGTTCCATCTCACACATATAATCTTTTGTGTGCTGGATTTCGGGAAGGGAGTTCAGTATGTTTAGTCTTCCCCCAACACCACGCCAGAAACCTATGATTGTGGGTTCGAATCCCGGTTCGCCCCGATTATGTTTCTAGGTTTGTCAGCACCATACCCGTACACGTGGGTTTCACCAAAGTGGTAAACATCTAAGACCTGCATCAGTTTGGGCTTTCCTCCACATTAAGCTGACACGCCGTGATATAACTGGAATAATGTTAAAAGCGGCGTTAAACCCAACTCACTCTCTCACTCATTTGAGCTGTTGTGAAGACAACAGTTTCTATCGGTGGCCTTTCTGGTTTTGTCACATAATAATTATTACCAAGTTTTTATGGTAAAAAATACACCATTCCCATGCTTATCATGAATAAGATGAATATAAACCGGCAATAAACTTTGGATCACTGTTTTTGTAACTTCCAGCCAAATGATTTGCGGAAATTCCATCAATTCAGGCGCCAATACAAAAAACTTAAGGTGTTAGTTATAGGAATTCAAATGCCGCAAGTGTTTGTATGCTAAGAAAGAGAATCAGACCCTTCAAATATTTTTTTTACAACGTGCTTGGTACATGTATCTGTCGACTTCACACCATTTTCAACGTGTATAGAGACGATATTGTGATCTCAGACAATCGTTACATGCTAATGTAGCTTATTGTACATGCGTGATAAAAAGTGCCGTGCTGCAACACTGGGTCATTTTGCGCGTTCTGTATTAATTGTATCCCTTTCTCTCAGTGACTAAGTATGTTTTGTGAACTGTCACTAGAAAGACCAATGCGTTGTCTATTCTTGATACACCATAAGACATTGTATCTTTTTTCATCACCTAATCGAAAATCCGTGGAATATATCAATAATGAATTCATCCCTTCTTAAAATCCGGAGTAACAGATATCCGGATCACAACGACCGGGCGTGACCTCATAATAAAGTTCTGTCAACTGTATACCATTCTGAATCTGATGATTCTTGATAGACAGCTTGTGTTCCTTGAAGCTAGGGCAAACGCAGCATCTGATTAAGCTATCACACATAACGTTAACACACCCTATATATTACAGCGTTGATCAATAACCAAGCTTATTCAAAGAACATGTTATCTTTGGTAAAGTTACACACAAAATAACTACTGAGCCATAGCTGGAAACACGTGACGGGTATATTTCATGTGTTTTCATGACGAACTCTTTTCTTATATGTTCGGGAAGGAGTCGCGATGCACGTGATAGAGTTTGTATGGTATCTGATCTCTAGTTTCTCATGATGGAACAATGGCGTGTCGTGTTGTATGATCGATTGTTTCCGCACGTCTCAGGACCCTTCTATACTAGCCGTGTAGGTCCTTGTAAACTGCTTCTGTATATATAATGCTGTCATACAGGTTCCAGTGAACAGACGCAACGGGCACATGACAGGTGAGTCTAGATACAACCTGAGTGAATGTTATTCAACGTATTTAGCAATAATGAGGCTGCCAACCCCTATTAGGTTGATTAATATATCCGGGACCCCGCCGTGTGGTACGCGGAACGCAAATATAATCGTTTTGGGCACGCAGATTCAAGAACTGGTGTACATAAAGATTGTCTCTATATATTTTATTTTTTCGATATTCTTTTCAGTTATTTAACTTCAAATCACACCCTTTTCTCAATGCTTTTGAGATTTGTGTTAAGTAGTATTCAGGATTCGGGGATGTGCAATGAGCAATTAGATGGTATTCAGGATTCGGGGATGTGCAATGAGCAATGAGCAATTAGATGGTATTCGGGATTCGGGGATGAGCAATGAGCAATTAGATGGTATTCGGGATTCGGGGATGAGCAATGAGCAATTAGATGGTATTCGGGATTCGGGGATGAGCAATGAGCAATTAGATGGTATTCGGGATTCGCGGATGAGCAATGAGCAATTAGATGGTATTCAGGATTCGGAGATGAGCAATGAGCAATTAGATGGTATTCGGGATTCGGGGATGAGCAATGAGCAATTAGATGGTATTCGGGATTCGCGGATGAGCAATGAGCAATTAGATGGTATTCAGGATTCGGAGATGAGCAATGAGCAATTAGATGGTATTCGGGATTCGCGGATGAGCAATGAGCAATTAGATGGTATTCAGGATTCGGAGATGAGCAATGAGCAATTAGATGGTATTCGGGATTCGGGGATGAGCAATGAGCAATTAGATGGTATTCGGGATTCGGGGATGAGCAATGAGCAATTAGATGGTATTTGGGATTCGCGGATGAGCAATGAGCAATTAGATGGTATTCAGGATTCGGAGATGAGCAATGAGCAATTTGATGGTATTCGGGATTCGGGGATGAGCAATGAGCAATTAGATGGGATTCGGGGTTTCAGGGATGAGAAATGAGCAATTAGATGGTATTCGGGATTCGGGGATGAGCAATGAGCAATTAGATGGTATTCGGGATTCGGGGATGAGCAATGAGCAATTAGATGGGATTCGGGATTCGCGGATGAGCAATGAGCAATTAGATGGTATTCAGGATTCGGTGATGAGCAATGAGCAATTAGATGGTATTCGGGATTCGGGGATGAGCAATGAGCATTTAGATGGTATTCGGGATTCGCGGATGAGCAATGAGCAATTAGATGGTATTCGGGATTCGGTGATGAGCAATGAGCAATTAGATGGTATTCGGGATTCGGGCATGAGCAATGAGCAGTTAGATGGTATTCGGGATTCGGGGATGAGCAATGAGCATTTAGATGGTATTCGGGATTCGGGGATGAGCAATGAGCAATTAGATGGTATTCGGGATTCGGGGATGAGCAATTAGATGGTATTCGGGATTCGGGGATGAGCAATGAGCAGTTAGATGGTATTCGGGATTCGGGGATAAGCAATGAGCAATTAGATGGTATTCGGGATTCGGGGATGAGCAATGAGCAATTAGATGGTATTTGGGATTCGGGGATGAGCAATGAGCAATTAGATGGTATTCGGGATTCGGGGATGAGCAATTAGATGGTATTCGGGATTCGCGGATGAGCAGTTAGATGGTATTCGGGATTCGCGGATGAGCAATTGGATGGTATTCGGGATTCGGGGAAGGAGGGGGGTTGGCACCCTCAATATTTCGGCATATATCACGCCGGTCTGCCATAAGACCGTCATACCAGAATTTACAGACCGCCGTCATATAGCGGGAATATTACTGAGTGCGGAGTTAAATAACAACCAACAAACCAACCAACCAACCAAACACACAACCAAACAAACAAAGAAACAAACATAACCGAAGTTCGTTTTTATACATGTATTTCATTACTTTCACGGTGTGGAAGAAAGGTCCGAAGTGATGCAGGTACCTTAGACTCTTATCACTTTGGAGATACCCACGAGCACGGGTATGGTGCTGGCAAACCTAGAAACATTATCGGGTCGAACCGGGATTCGAATCCACGATCACAGCTTTCTGGAACACCTGGAGGACGCAGGCATTCTGAGGATATTTTACATGATGTATATCACTTAGTGTACCACTCTCGGGGATATCATGATATAAAAGGTTAGACCTCCCGGATACTATGTTTTTATACTGAAAAGGTCAGTGAAACCAGAGCCTCTGTGTATAACCTATGTACATCATGGCCAACTTTCATTCACATATCAATAGCACCTAAAATGTTTAAACAACATTGTTTCGATAACTGTATTTAAATAGATATTCAAGAACTCAATGCTTAACTTTAAGAACACTGAAAATGTTTACTGAACCTTTCGCACGTGCACTGTTTGAAATGCATGTCCTGCGAAAAATCGCATTGGACCGGGCCGAGCACATTTTATCAATCAGCCAAATGTTAATGGGTCTATTATGGGCAAACGTAGCCCAGAACAGCAATATTATCACATACTGAATTAATCACAAAATATCTCCATTCATTAAAGATATGTAATACTCTTGATGTTAATACATATGTCTTGGTTAATTCCACACAATTGGTTCCATATCGCTGTGGCAGAAGACGCACGTTAGCCTTCGGTATGGGTTCTAATCCTGCTGGCGACAAACGTTTTTCGTTCCATTGTTCTATCATCAAGATAAATGCCAAACGGGGTGTTTAACTTACTATAAGGTAATGCCCTGTCAAAGACATCTTCCCGAGGCAAGAGAGTTAACTGACTTTAAAAGTCTAGTTTCCACCCTTGCCGAACAAGGCTGGAATTTCCTGGGCTCGATCGTAGCGCCACCAGTGGTTATTACGAGTTATGTCCCTTCTTAGCCTCTCCTATGGACCAATCAGATTCCACCTCTCGTATCACTTGCGTTTGCTTCAAACAAAATGGCGGCGCCCAGTCAAGACGATCTGATCGATAATCAAGATCTATATTGTGATAAAACGGGTCTTACATCGCGAAGTGCATCAAATTCACATGAGCACCTTGATTAAAAAACATAAAAAGATTCGGAAAATATCTGTTGACAACGAGTTGGCAGTGCACATGCTTTGCAAATCCTGCAATCGACCGAAATGTATTTATTGATATCCCAAATTCGAGTTTTACAGACTTTCAGTGATCCATTCATAAAATGTTTATTACTATTTTGTCTTTTACGATCAGTTGAATCTGTTTCGGCAGATAATCGAGAATTTACCCAATCAAACAAAACTTTTCCAGGGTAAGACATCAATGATGACACGTTTGGATGTAAAATACAGATTGTTTACGTTTTGCGAAAGTGATCTAGAAACACTGACCATCAGTCTTAGAAGTGTAAACCTTAACTTGACCTATGAAAGATGGCATCGATCATGCTACTACAGCCATAAATGTACCACTCAAAAAAAAGTTAAAACCACCCCTTTCTTTCCCATTGCTATAGTAAAAGGAAAGAATTCAGTTAAAGATCACCCGATTCTTTCCCATTGCAATAGTAGAAGGAAAAATATCAGTTAAAGACCACCCGGTTCTTTCCCATTACTATAGTAGAAGGAAAGAATTCAGTTAAAAACCAACCGATTCTTTCCCATTGCTATAGTAAAAGAAAAGAATTCAGTTAAAGACCACCCGATTCTACTATAGTAAAAGAAAAGAATTCAGTTAAAGACCACCATATTCTTTCCCATTGCTAAAGTAAAGGGAAAGAATTCAGTTGAAGACCACCCGATTCTTTCCCATTGCTATAGTAGAAGGAAAGAATTCAGTTGAAGACCACCCGATTCTTTCCCTTTGCTATAGTAGAAGGAAAGAATTCAGTTGAAGACCACCCGATTCTTTCCCTTTGCTATAGTAGAAGGAAAGAATTCAGTTAAAGACCACCATATTCTTTCCCATTACTATAGTAAAAGAAAAGAATTCAGTTAAAGACCACCATATTCTTTCCCATTACTATAGTAAAAGAAAAGAATTCAGTTAAAGACCACCCGATTCTTTCCCATTACTATAGTAAAAGAAAAGAATTCAGTTAAAGACCATCCGATTCTTTCCCATTACTATAGTAAAAGAAAAGAATTCAGTTAAAGACCACCCGATTCTTTCCCATTACTATAGTAAAAGAAAAGAATTCAGTTAAAGACCATCCGATTCTTTCCCATTACTAAAGTAGAAGGAAAGAATTCAGTTAAAGACCACCCGATTCTTTCCCATTACTATACATGAAAGAATCCGGTGGTCTTTGATCAGTCCTTGAGGAATTATGAGACGATGGGGCTAAGTGATTATAATAAAAAACATTCATTAGGAGTAAAGTGATAATAACATAATTGCCAGGAATCTGTGCTGATCGTAATTAAAGCGACACAACCCTTTCCACATCCAATGGAAATCTCTGCACAATGCAGGGTCGATTGTACGATTCCGACCATATCACCAGCATGTGTTTATGAATCACTATCAAATAGTAATGATGACAAGGTGTTCGCAAAAAGGTGAACTTACTGCCCCAATGGTGGCACCATCACAGACTGTACAAGTCAAATAGGGAATTACATCTGACATAATGCTTGTCACTGATGCGTCACATTTGGAAATGTCCTCCTTTACCGAAGCCTTGAATGTTGTAACCTTGATTATAAAACTTCTGAGCAAGAGTCTAGGGCGCTTTTTGAAATCTTTGTAGAAAGAGCATGCTCGATTGTTTCTCAAAAGTTGTGAAATGTAAACACCAAAGGCTGGAGCTGCTCGAATATTGACACGAAGGACAAGTTGAGCATTGGAAAGTTGAAGTCTTGTCACACAGTCTTGTGGAGAGTGTTTTGTCACTCTGAATATTTATGCATAGATCTAAACATGAAACGAATGAGGCGGTCTCACTGGTCTCCTTTATTTCTAGTTCAGGTGGGTAAATCAGTTGAGGAATTAGCTATTTGATCAAGGAATGAAGCCTTTACTTTAGTTTGTCCTGAGGGATAGTGGTGTACGAAGTTGAAGAATGTTTTC